GATTCTTCCTTCTGTTCAAAAACTGGGCAAAGAATTTTCTGTCTTCTTCCTCTTGTCATACATAGGTTTATTTGATTGCAAAGATTGAGCTACTCATCTCTTTTGTTGATTACTCATCTTTTCTGTTGACTACTCATCTGTTTTGTTCTTAGAAAAATTTTTTAACTGTCTTGTTAACCATTTGTGCATCAAGTTTCCTTGCAATCACTATGACCTTGTCAGTTATTTTGACAATTATTTCCACCTGGCTTCTACAGGTTAAGTGCCGCCTGACATCTATTTGGAGGACTGTAGGGCATAGATCCTATCACTGTTGTTGCTATTAGGGAGCCTTGTTCTTTAATGGCATTTCCTACTTTTAGCCCTGCTACAAAGGAAAACCATCACTGAACTTAGTGTAGTGGATACTCCACTCACCAATGCATTCCTTATTATGTATCCTCTTGACCCTCCCATGCACTTGGTAGGAATGGATTGGTAAGCTATGGATTTCTGTAAGGAAGTGAACTTTTCCTGAAGTCACAGAGAATTTACCCATTTGAAATGAATTTTCAAGTTATAGCTTCTAAATGAAGCCCATCAAAGAATACATATTGTAATTGTTTTCATTAATAGTCCCTTCATTGTCAAATACCCTGATTCATATTGCTCCAAATTTCAGTCTGTACAAGATTGTTGTTGTTATTGTTAAATGTCACCGATTTGGTTCCAAACCATAGTAAGCCCGAATAGGGTATACAAAGAGTGACTGTTGAGCTTGAACCACTATCCTTGTGGTTCATACTGACTTTGCAGTCCATTGCATTAACCCATAGTGTCACACTAGGACTCCTTACAAGATTAGTAGGGTTAAATAATAATTTTAAAGTTATTTGGGGGGGTGGGGAAGGTGTATTTTTAAACTAAAGATTCTGTGCCATTTATAAACCTGTTTTTAAAAAAACTATATTACACTCAGTGAAGGTTAACAGACAAGATCATCAGTTTTGCATTCAACAAATTACACACTTTGTTTCATCTCAATGATTACAATCCTCTCACTGCCACAACAGTTACCATACTTCCTCCCTGTGACTTCCCTTTTACATCTTATACTTCACAAATTAACAAAGAAAAAATATTTTATGTACACAAACAAAACAAAACAAAAAAAGATAGTCATTTAAACATCCTAAAAGGCATATTCTGTAAGTCACCCTCCTGCCCACAGGCAGACAGCCTTACTCAGTCCAAGGGTCTAGAAACCGTAGCTGCTCATTCTCTATGCCATCGTCATTGCTGTTGCTGCTTTTCTAGGTAGGATCTCATGCTTCACTCATACTCTTCCTTCTTGATGGTCCTGGGATCATCTGTTCCTGAAATGAAAGATAAACTACTCCTCCCTTTTAGTTACACATCTTCTACAATTACAGTTGTGACCATCACAATTAATTCTGCTAACAATTCCCCACAATTGAATCATAAAATCCTATCACCATCATCCCTCAACCCCTTTCACCAGATCCATGTGGTGAAAAGAGGGAAGCAATTCAGTGGGGATTCTACTTTATCCTCCTTGTTCTGAAACTATGCTCACTCAGAGCTTGTAACCCAGCCACTTAGTGCCTTTATAGCCCCCCATTTGTGATAGCCAATGTCTAGAGGGCCTGTCCCTATCAACTCAGTGCACTGAGGAAACAAGCTTGCTCCTTGATATGAAGAATCCTTCCACTGCAGTTGAAATATTGAGCAACTGCATCCATAAGCAAAGGTCCAGTTAATCAAATTGTAGCAATTTATACTTGTTCACAGTTTCAAGCATCTTTATCTTCATCTGGCCAAGTTCTGGTCAGCTAGCTATCCAAGTTAGGTACTAGCTGCAATTTTGAGAATTCATGCACGCCTTCCTGAACTTCAGACCAACTGGTCACTTCACTCTCAGCTTTAGCCACCCATGGCTAGAACAGTGTCCATGGGCTCAGGAGTTTACATATCTCCCTAAACTTCAGACTACCCAGTCCTTCCTCTTCTCTCTCTCATCTCAAGGTCAACGGGTGTCAACGGATCATGGCCAAACTCAACCCATGTCTTCATTGCTGCGTCTCCCTCAGTTCTACTCACAAGTAGACCGAGGTGATCACCAGCGAGCATACTAGACTGCTCGCAGTTTCCCTGTTAGTTTCAGTTTTATAAGGGGTTTTCTTTGATGGGCTGACTTTTCTTGCCTTGATGTCTCCAAAGCAAACATTGGCTTAATAGTCTAATAACCAGTCTGCTTTTTTTCTGCAGGTCTAGAGAGTTTTTAAGACCTTTAGGAATCAGATCATCTACACTGTCTTGTAATGATACTGTTTAACTCTATTTGTATAAGGTACATACTATTTAGCATGTGACAGAAGCAATTCAACATAGCCAAGTCCCCACATTGGTCGAGTCAATTCTGTGTTAATTTATCATTTTGGTACTCTTTCATTTCTGCTTCACCAGATAGCAAACATAACTATGTATAAGTATATCTAAAGAGGAAGATCCATATGTAAACTACTAAGGAACACAGTAACTTTTTGTTTTTTTAAAATTGAGTTTATTTCTAGAGTTAGCGCTCAGATCTTACTGGAAAAACTAATTTCTGTTTAATTTCAGAAATGTTACCTTTTTATGCTCTGTTTCATCCAACCCAAGAACATTTTTTTTAAACTTTTTATTATGATTTGAGTAAAGGTTTGTGGGCAAGATCATCAGTTTTGTTTCAAAAAATTATGTACTTTGTTTCATCTCAATGATTACAACCCCCTCCCTGCAACAACAATTATCTTACTTCCTCTATGTGGTTCCCCATTTACATCTTATATTTTAGAAATGAACAAAGCAAAAATATTTTATGTACATATACAAAACAAAAGATATATGTATTCATTTAAATGTCCAAAGGGTGCATTCTGCAAGCCAGCCTCCTACCCACAGGCACACAGCCCTACTCAGTCTATGGGCTTAGAACCCATAACTGCTTCGGCTCTCCATGTCACCACCTCTGCCACCACTTGTGCACTTCCTTCTTGATGGCTCTGGGATCCTCTGTTACTGAGATGAAAGATTAACTACTTTTCTTTTTTAGTTACATATCTTCTCCAATTAGTTGTGACAATCACACTCCTGTTAACAGTTGCTAACAATTGAATCATAAAATCCTATCACCATCATCCCTTCTTCTCTTTCATCAAATCCATCTGGAAAAGAGGAAAACTATTCAGAGGAGCTAACCCAAGAACATTTCATCCTTATGCGAGATCTAAGCAAATTGAAATTAGTGAATTAATAGATATCTGCTGTCCTTCTGTGAATATCCTTTATGTTTATCTTCTTGCATGTCAATAATGGCACCTACCAATAGAATTTTTTTAATTAAGGTTTTTAATTGTGGATTGAGTGAAAGTTTACAGGACATATCATCAGTTTACATTCAACAAATCATACACCTTGTTCCATTACAACGAGTATAATCCCCTCCATGTACCATCAGTTAACAGTATTTCTCTCTATCCACTTTAGCTTTTTAAAAACAAACAAAAAAACCACTCAGGCATATATAATAATTTAAATCTCCAAAGGGCACATTCTGCAACTCTGCCTCCTCCACCAGCTCTTAGTCCCTCTCTTCTTAGTCCATGAATCTAGAGTCCTCAGCCACTCCCCGTCTCCATGCCCCCATCTCTGCCTCCATCTCTGGCGCTGCTGCTTCTCTGGATAAGGTCCCGCATTCTGCTTGTGCTCTTCTCTCTTGATGGTCCTAGGGTCCTCTGTTTCTGGACTGTAAGATTAACCACTCCCGTTTGTTACAAAAATTCTATCTTTACAATTGTGACAGTTGCAATTAGTCATGATAACAATTATTCATTATTGAATCTTACGAATCTTATCCCCATCTCTTTTCACCAGACCTGTCCAGGCAAGATGACAACTATTCATTGGGGACTCTTTCTTTCTCCACATACTCTTAAACTAAGCTCTCTCTTGAAACCTTGTAAGCCAGTCACTTTGTGCCTTTATTGCCATCTTAGGTAGCCGATATCTAAGTTGCCCATCCCTATCTACCCTGTGTACAGAAAGGATAGCATTGATACTTGATGTGAAGACTCTTTCATTCTGTGTTGGTATTTACAGTAACTACCGCTCTGAGTATAGATCAGGTTCATCAAATTGAAGCAATTTACCTTTTTTTCCTTTATCAAAAAAAAAAGATTTTTTTTTTTCTTTTAATCTACCTCTAGCCGAGTTCTGATTATCAAACCATCGAGGCTTCACTCTCAGCTCTAGCTTTCTGTGGCTAAGTCCTTGTCCATGGGCTCAAGTGTCCTCAGGTCTCACCACACTTTGGACCAACCAGCAATTCTTCTCTCTCTCATCTCCAGGTCAATGGAATTCAATGGACTGGGGTTGAACTCAGCCCATTTCTTCATTGCTACCTTTCTGCCTCTTCTACTCACCAGTAGACCAGTGTGGTCACCAGCAAGCTTACATGCTTTTTTGTGTATTCCCTTTGAGTTTCAGTATTAGAGGGGAGTTTGTCCTGAAGGCACTTGATTGCTAGCCTTGATGTCTTCCTGGCAAACAGCTTGCTTATTCTTGTAGTAGCCAGTCATACTGACATTTTTGTTTTGGTTTTTTCCTGACGATCTTTCTTTGAAGATGTATCTTCTGTCACTGTAGCTGTTCCAGTCTGCTTGTCCTTTCTAGTGGGAATGTCTCACCTCATAAGGTTCTGGATGGGACTCAGGATTCCACCTAAGGTCCTATACTCTGTAAAGGCTTCGCATGAGGCCTATTTCACTGGGCAAGTTATAGAACCCCTTTTATTTTTTATTTATTTATTTATTTTTTGGTATCAAATGACTTTATCTGAAGGAATGGTACAAACGAAAGAACTCAAGTAGGATGGTTTGGTACATTTTGTAGAAAAGGTAAAGGTAAACCAAACATGCATGTGGCTGCCTTGGTGGCCCATGGAGCAGTCAGACTAAAGCTCAGCTCTTTCCATCGCTGTCTCCCAGGGTGTGCTTGTCAAAGAGATACTCTGCCAGGCCAGAATCCGGGGCCCCCATCTTGCACAAGTTGGTTACATAGTCGCCCAATTCTTTGATGGATTTCACCTGCTCATCCAGGTCATGCATTTCAATGAAGTCACACAAGTGGGGGTTGTTCTTGTCAGTGGCCAGTTTATGCAGTTCCAGTAGTGACTGATTCATGCTTTTTTCCAAGTGCAGCGCGCAGTCCATTGCATTCAGCCCGCTCTCCCAGTCAACCCGGTCTGGTTTCTTGATATCCTGCAGGAAGATTTGACCACCTCGTTGGTTCTGCAGCTTCATCAATTTCTCAGCATGTTACTGCTCCTCATGAGACTGGTGCAGAAAATACTTGGCAAAATTCTTCAAAGCCACATTGTCTCTGTCAAAGTAGTATGACATGGACAGGTAGACATAAGAGGCTTTCCTGATTTCTTCCTTATTTTTCTCAACTCCATTGTATAGTGTTTTGATACATTTTATAATCATTTTTCTGAATTCCGTCTCTAGCATTTCCAAAGCATGCCCATCTTCCAGTACAGAGTGTAGGTCTACTTCCAGCTCATTTGTCTCAGTCACTTTATCTTGTTTCTGTACATGTGCACATATGGTCATATTCAGGAGTTATCTGTGGCCTTAATACTTAGATGGGTGTGTATTTTGGTTTTTTTTTTATGCTTCTAATTGCCTCCAGGTAGATGTAATCAGGAAAGGGCTTCCCCATTCACTCTTCTTCTTGAGAAATTTCAAGATGCCACTGTTGGTTGTTTTGACGTAACTTAGGATTTAATTTTTGGCCTATTTCCTATTTTGTCTGCCTGTCCCACTCCACAATCCCTGTTCAGGCCTTTTTTCAGGGCCGGCTGTGGCCATTTAGTTTTAAGTGGAAACTGTCTCTTTAAATTACGAGGAGATCGGTGCACATGCGTGGTAGGACTCTCTGAGGATGTGGCTGGGGTGTCCACTAGCTCAGCCCTATAGTCACCATAATGGAGCTGCGCAGACAGCAAGGGACCAGTTAACAAATACCAAAAGAAAAGAATGCCCACATCTTTATCTCTGCGGTTCTGTCAGGCGTCCATGGCTGCTCTGATCCTTCACTCACTTGGTCTCACCCAAGATGGTGGCTCCTGGAGCAGCTGAGCATCTTGAATTAGAAAGCAATGGATTTCTTGCTTCTGCTACAAATTCCCTAACTGTAAGCCTTCCAACCTTCTAAATATTCCTTTATATGTGGTTCACAGTTCTGGGACCATCCCCTGAGCCTGCTTGGCCCTGTATTCTCTGTAGTTGCTGATAGAGTGCCTTACTGCACTTCCACCCAATCCGCCATCTTGTTTGTTCTTCCCAATAGAATTTTTAAAGAGTGTTTTCTCAGTAGCAATTTTTTGACTGTTTTCTGCAGGGGAGCGAGGGGTGGTGGCAGTTGGCAAGCCGGCATCTCTGCGTGGTCTGAGCCTGCGTGCTCCCCATCTTGCACTCCTCCCGCGCACCCGCCCGTTGCCCCCCTGGTACCACGCGCAAGAACCCAGGCCCCCGCTTGCTTGATTCCATCGCAACCACTCCGGGCTCTTTCTTCTAAGGAACTCTGGTAGTGTAGTGGTTATGAATCAGGCTGCAAACCACAAGGTCAACAGTTCAAAACTACCAGTTGTTCCACAGGAGAAAGAGGCTTTCTGCTCCCATGAAGATTTACAGCCTCGGAAATCCTGTACAGGGTCCCTATGAGTCAGAACCAACTCCACGGCACATAACAACAACAACAAACACTGGGTAGATGGCAAGAACACTGTGATAAGTAAAACAAGTCTTGCTTTTGGGAAACTCTCAAACAAACTAGGAAGATACTTCTAAACAGAAGGGAAAATGAGTGCTAAGGGGAGAGAAAAATGATGCTCTTTGCCTGGAGGGACTGAAAAAAAGAGATGATACATAAGGAGCTCTGGTAGAGTAGTGGTTACGAATTGGGCTGCGAACCGCAAGGTCAGCAGTTCAAAACTACCAGCTGCTCCATAGAAGAAAGATGCGGCTTTCTACTCCCATAAAGATTTACAGCTTTGGAAAGCCTGTTCAGGGTCGCTATGTGTCAGAACTCACTAGACAGCACTTAACAACAACATATGTTGGGTCCTGAATAATGAACAAGTATTTGTCTGACAAAAAGAAGGCAAATGAGGGCATTTCCAGGCAGTGATCATTGGCCCTGTTGGTGAATTTGTTAATAACTTTCGGGATTAAACTAGAAACCAAGAGGGGTGTTTCATCCCGTCCTCTTATTGTGTGTCATGGACTCCAAATCATAGTGACCCCATAGGAAAGAGTAGAAGTGCTCCCATAAGGTTTCTTAGGCTGAAATCATAACGGATAGATCACCAGGTCTCTTCTCCCACACAGCTCCTGGTGGTTTCCAAATGTCCATTAGCAGTTGGATGCTTAAACACTGTGCTCCCAAGGCCCCTTTTCCACCTGTCCTAAAGGGTATCAAAGCAATAGTCAGCACTGAGCATCTGAATGTCTTAACATGGACTTTCAACAGTGAGAGTCAGGATTGAGTTGATAACAGCAGCCAGCTAGGTTTTGAACAGTGAGTGGAACAGCAGTTAGCAAAGAAAGGGGCTAAGAAGGAAGATTGCCTGAAACCATTTTTCAACACATGTACATGTGAAAATGTCTGGCTCACTTGCCATATTTGGCTTCCTGTAGTTTATATTGTGGCAGTAATATCACAACAACTCTCTAGAAAGGATGTTACTCTCCCCTAGAATAAGTTTCCATAGCTTGTTTTATTTGGTCCTTCACAAATCCATGGGGAATGGTAAATCCAATGACAATTTGGATTTGGGCTTCTTGGTAGCAAAAGGGTTGCTTTTTTTCTCAAAGGGCACTTACCAACTTTTGATCAGTTTGGGTCATCAGAGTTTAATACTGTCAAAGTATAATTTTCAAAAAGTTGAAAACATGACATACAAATATAGAATGAATGTGTGTCAAAAATTAATGAACTTTTTCCATAATGGAACCAATAAGATGGTAAAGCTGGTTCAAAGAACATTTTGAGGTACTGGGTATTAATGAGCATTTAAAAAGGAATGTTAGAAAAAGAGAATTAGGTTAGATATAAAACTGGTTCATGCCCTAAATGGCAATAAACCTTAAACCTTTGAAGTCATTCTACTTGGCAACATCTAGCATGTAAGTCTACCATCTAACCCCTTAATTGATAATAATAACAAGATCACACAAAAGCACATTTTCCTAGCCTACATAATTAAATAATCCTTGGATGAGATAGATCTTCATCCACCTAATTCTCCAGCATACCATTGAAAGTACATTCTGTGGTCTAAATGGGACAGCTCAACCTTGGAAAAACAGGGTTCTGTGATACTGGGATCGAGGCATAGCCTGAAGAGGGGAAATAATGCTAAGATGCTTGGCTGTCATGAATATTGGTTTCCCTTGCCTTCTATTGTAAAATAGACACTAGAGTGGAATAGAAAAGAATGTTGAGACACATGATTACAGAAAGCTTGTAAGCCTGTCTTCAGCCTATAACTGATTGGAATACCTAAAAGGGGTTCTAGAACTTGCCCAGTGAAATAGTCCTCTTGTGGAGACTGTGTAGTGTATAGGACCTTAGGTGTAATCCTGATCCCCATCCAGAACCTTCTGAGGTGAGACATTTCCACTAGAAAGGACAAGCAGACCAGCCTGGAACAGCTAGAGCAACAGAAGATACATCTTCAAAGAAAGATTAGCAGGAAAAACCTAAAACAAAAATGGCAGGATGGTTGGCTACTACAAGAACAAGCAAGATGAAACCCATCAAGGCAAACAATCAAGTCCCTTCAGGACAAAACTCCTTCTAAGACTGAAACTCAATGGAAACACATGAGCAGGCATGTAAGCTTGCTGGCGACCACATTGATCAACTCCCATTGATTTGGAGATGAGAAAGAGAAGAGAAGGGCTTGTTGGTCGCAAGTGTGGTAAAACCTGGGGACTCCTGAGCCCATGGACAATGACATAGCCATGGAGGGCCAGAGCTGAGAGTGAAGCATCTAGCTGATATGAAGTAAAGGGAGGTGCACAAGAACACCCAAACTTGCTGATAGCATCCATTTGACCTAGCCTCAATGGCTTGATAATCAGAACTTGACTAGAAGAAGATAAAAAAATTTTTTTTTTGATAAAGGAAAGGAGTGTTAATTGCTACAATCTGATGAACTTGACCTATACTTATGGCTGTAGTAGCTCAAAATACCAACTAAGAGGGAAGGAGTCTTCACATCAAGTATCAATCCTATCCCGTTTGTATACAGGGTAGATAGGGATGGGCAACTTAGGCACTGGCTATTTAAAATAGGGGTTGCTCTTGTTGTGAAGTGCTGTCGAGTCGGTTCCGACCCATAGTGACCCTGTATAGGGTTTCTGAGGCGCAGCTGGTGAGTTCGAACTGCCGAACTAGCAGTTTAAATGGCTTTGCAGTCTGGTGCATTAACCCACACGAGGACTCCTAAAATAGGGGATGGGGGACAAAAAAGGCACACAGTGACTAGTTACAAGTTTTCAAGAGGGAGTTTAGTTTCAGAGTGTGTGGGGGCAGATAGAGTCCCCTTGAATGGTTTTCATCTTGCCTAGACGAGACGGGTCTGGTGAAAAGAAATGAGGATAAGATTCCTATGATTCAATAATGAGTAATTGTTATCATGACTAATTGCACCTGTCAACACTGTAAAGGTAGAAGTTTTGTAACAAACACGGGGGAGTAGTTAATCTTACAGTCCAGGAACAAAGGACCCTGGGACCATCAAGAGAGAAGAGTGGGAGTGGAATGCGGGACCCTATCCAGAGGAAGCAGCTGAGGATTCTAGATTCATGGAAAGAGAGGGCCTGAGTGCTGGCGGCCTTGAGGCAGGCTTGCAGAATGTGCCCCCTCCAAAAAACCCAAAAAAACAGAGGGAATGGAAGCAAGTACTGTTAAATGATGATGCATGGAAGGTACTGTAATCATTGCAATGAAAAGATGATGTAAAGCCGTGTAAATTATCACTCAGTTCCCAATAAAAAAACAAAACAATATGAGCTGTATGGTTAAAAAAATAAAAATAAAAAAGTTATTGCTACCTACCTTTTTGCTTTGTTTCCAAATTTGGAATTAATTTCTTGAAAACTCTTTCATACTTTTCCTCCTCACCATATGTTCCAGCATGACTTTGTAAAACCAGCTGACATCTATCCCTTCCCCTCCACATATTCAG